CTTGTCCGAAGATCGAAGTTTATAGCAAGGAATTGTTGAAGCCCCGAAGATGGAAGATACTCGAGAAGAGTCTCTTCGGCCGGTTAGCTTGAGATCCTGTGACAGCAGTCCAGGAGTGAGCGAGAAGACCGGATCTCCTTTGATCGTCGGGACGACGATCTAGAAGAGGAGGGGGGTAATGTTACGCGGCGGACACCGAGTGCGTGTCGCGGGAGTCGCGTGAACGTCGCGCGCTCGGCACGATTGTTTGTTGCCGAGCGATGGGTTTGTTGAGAGAGATTCTGAGCAGAGAGCTGTCACGGCGTGCCACGACGAGATTTGTATTGCGCGTTCTTTTTGTATTTCTATGTGAATAAAGTGCTTTGTTAAGAAACCGCGTGTTCTTCTTTTGCCGCAAGCGCGTGCGCGATTTCCGGAGTCCGGCAAAAGCGCTGTTTCGCTGTCGCGAGTGCGACAATATAGATAAGCAATTATCTATGACAGAAACCATCAGAAAAACTATGAAATAGTATCGAAAATTATTTTTTCATTTAGTGGATTTGGCATTGGCAAACGCTCACGTATTGTACAATCAAAAAGTGGAAAAAAAACTTTCTTTTCCAGAGTTCCGTATAAAAGTAGTTAGAGGATTATTCAATCTTGAAGTTCAAACATTCATATTCAGCTCCAACTCATTCACGACTAACAGGACGTCATTTCTCTGTTGAAATTTCTAACAAAGGTTCATCTGCAATTCTACAGCGTAAGTGTAAACTCTGCGCTATGAAGAAAATAAAACGACGCTCTAAGTATGAATGCAATATCTGTCACAAAACTCTATGTATTATACCGTGTTTTGAGACGTATTATATCAAATCCGAATCACCATAAAAAGATTTCTCAAAAGTAATTAAAAGAAAATTCAAAGAAATTTAAAAATTTAAAAATAAATTAAAAAATAAACAAATATATAATGAAAAATGGCTATTGAAGCATGACACTGTTGTTATAGTGTATAAAAATAAATCCGTTTATTATACAAGTAAGTAATTAAAAAGGCATAAACGCTTTCGACCTTGTACAGGGTGACCAATGGGAATGTGTTGAAAGTAAATAGTTATATATCCCCTTCTCGATTTCAGTAACTGTTTTACCGACTAGGGTCCGCTACCTAAGACCCGTCAATTTCATTTGAACCGTCGTATAAACCGATTTGCAAGTTATAGGATGGACGCGCTAAGCATCGAAGAAAAAGTGTTTCTCATCGAGTGCTTCTATAGTAGAGGCAAAAACTATAGTCAGGCGTATCGTGGATTCCGTAGTAAATATGGATCTAAAAAAGTTTCAAGCAAAACAATACTCAGAAGGTATGTTTTTAATACTTTTTAGCCACGCTCCCTCTCCCTGGAATCGCGTCATCATTCCAATGTTGGTTAGGTGAGATTTTATTTTTATTTGTCGATATTTTTTGGCAGGATTATTGATAATTTTGGTATGTATGGCACTTTGAACAATCGTAGACATGATTTACCTGGCCCATCTCGTACAGTTACAACGGACGAAACAATTGATGACGTTA